GTCAGGAGAGGTACTTCCTTATTATTGTTGACGACTTCTCGCGCTACACCACGGTCTTCCCCTTGCGCGCCAAGGGTGACGTCCCTGATGTCTTGATCCCTTGGATCCGCAGATCTCGTCTCCAGCTCCGTGAGCGTTTCCGCTCCGACTTCCCTGTCCTGCGTCTGCACTCTGACAGAGGTGGGGAGTTTTCCTCTAGCCTATTGGAGGCCTTCTGTCAGCAGGAGGGCATTGAGCAGTCGTACACGCTTCCGGCCTCTCCACAGCAGAATGGGGTTGCTGAGCACCGCATTGGTCTGGTCATGGAGGTCGCTCGTACCTCCTTGATCCATGCGGCTACCCCCCATTTTCTGTGGCCGTTTGCAGTCCGATACGCTGCGCATCAGCTCAACCTCTGGCCCCGTGTCTCCTTGCCCGAGACTTCTCCGACGCTGCGTTGGACGGGAGAGGCTGGCGATGCGTCGCGTTTTCGGGTCTGGGGATCCCGAGCTTTTGTCCGCGACGCGTCCGCGGACAAGCTCTCCCGTCGCGCTGTCCCCTGCGTCTTCCTTGGCTTTGTCCCGGACGCCCCTGGCTGGCAACCACCCCACCTCGCGTCGTGTCCTGGCCTCTCAGGACGTCACTTTTGACGAGTCCGTCCCCTACTACCGCCTCTTCCCCTACCGCACTGCCCCGCTCCCCCCCCCGCCTCTCTTCCTCGCTCCAGGTGCTGAGGTACCAGACCCCCTCCCCCCTCAGGGTGCCGCTCCCTCAGGTGTGTCCCAGGTAGACCCGGGTGAGCCTGTCGAGGTAGCTGTTGACTCTCGTCCTGCTAGGGGTGCTGAGCCTGGGGGTGCTGCGTCTGGGGGTGCTGAGCCTGGGGGTGCTGCGTCTGGGGGTGCTGAGCCTGGGAGTGCTGGGTCTGGGGGTGCGGAGCCTGGGGGTGCTGAGCCTGGAGGTGCGGAGCCTGGAGGTGCTGAGTCTGGGGGTGCTGAGTCTGGGGGTGCTGAGCCTGAGCGTGCTACACCTGGAGGAGCCCTCTCCTCCCAGCAGCTGCAGGAGAGGTACCTCGAGTACTGCCGCCTCCGGAGAGGTGCTCCTGGAGCTCGTCCCGGTACTTCCCCTCCTACCCAGGAGCTCCCCCCCATTCAGCAGATCCGCGAGTGGTACACACGCCGCTGCAGTCTTCAGAGTGGTGCTCCTGGTGCTGCGGACCCTGGGGGTGGCGCTGCTGCTGGTGCTGCGGACCCGCCTGGTGGAGCTGCTGCTGGTGCTGAGGACTCGGACGTTGGAGCTGCTGCTGGAGCTGAGGACCCGGGCGGTGGCGCTGCTGCTGGTGCTGAGGACCCGGACGTTGGAGCTGCTACTGGTGCTGAGGACCCGGGCGGTGGAGCTACTGCTGGTGCTGAGGACTCGGACGGTGGAGCTGCTGCTGGAGCTGAGGACCCGAGCGGTGGCGCTGCTGCTGCTGCTGAGGACCCGGGCGTTGGAGCTACTACTGGTGCTGAGGACCCGGCCGGTGGAGCTGCTGCTGGTGCTGTGGACCCGGACGCTGGAGCTCCTACTGGTACTGAGGACCCGGCCGCTGGAGTCTCTTCTGTTTCTGGAGACGCTGCGCGGCCGCGACCGTACTTCGTACCGCTCCTTCAGCAGGTTCTTGGGCGGGCTCCTCCCCCTTCTCCTCCTCCCTCCGTAGAGTGTCCTCCGCCTGTCCAGCCTCAGTCACAGTTACTGCCTACCTCGCCTCTCCCGGCTCCCTCTCCTTACACTGGTCCCACAGGAGGTCTTACAGAGCGTCGTGAGCCTGAGTCTCGTCCTGTGTCGCCTGTTCGTCCTGCTCGCACTGGTAGTCGTGTCCGTCGTGAGCGTCCTCCTCCTGTCCCAGGCACTCACTACATGACTCTGCGTCCCTCTACTGCTCCTCAGCGTGTCCCTCTACCGTCTCCTCCTGCGTCCTCTTTGCCTGACGTTCCGGACCCTGAGTCTGACCGGTATCGTGCTGAGCACCCTACTGTCACGCGTCTCCTTGCTACTGTTGTCACTGACCCTACCTTTGAGTCCTCGGCTGCGTCTGCTCTGGTCGCTGAGTTGGTTGACTTTGCTGCTGCCTGTCGTCTAGACTACGCTGCTAGCCTTGTTGCTGAGTCTGAGTCTGTCTGTCCTTCGTCCGTCGGGGGTGAGTGTGCTCTTGGCACGGACGTCCTTGAGGACAGACAGGAGGAGTTCCAGTGTCTTGCTGCTGCTTTGCCCCGTCTCGTGTCCTTGCTAGTTGCCCCTGAGGGAGACCCGGATGCACCAGACATCCCGACCCCGCGCACTTACGCTGAGGCGATGGCGGGTCCCTACTCCTCTCAGTGGCAGACAGCCATGGACGCCGAGATGGCTTCCTGGAAGTCCACACGCACCTACGTAGACGAGGTTCCCCCTCCTGGGGCGAACATCGTCAGTGGCATGTGGATTTTCAGGGTGAAGCGGCCGCCGGGTTCTCCGCCTGTCTTCAAGGCGCGTTACGTGGCTCGAGGCTTCAGTCAGCGAGAGGGAGTTGACTTCTTCCAGACCTTCTCCCCCACCCCGAAGATGACTACTCTTCGGGTGCTGCTGCACATAGCCGCTCACCGCGACTACGAGCTTCACTCGCTTGACTTCAGCACTGCTTTCTTGCAGGGCAGCCTGCACGAGGAGATCTGGCTGCGCCGCCCACCTGGCTTCACTGGGTCGTTTCCTCCTGGTACCCAGTGGAGGCTTCAGCGGCCGGTCTACGGTCTCCGCCAGGCTCCGCGTGAGTGGCACGACACACTGAGGACTACACTTGCGGCTCTTGGGTTCGCGCCTTCTACAGCTGACCCGTCGCTTTTCCTGCGCACCGACACTTCGCTGCCGCCGTTCTACATCCTCGTGTACGTCGACGACTTGGTCTTTGCCACTGCTGACACTGCAGGACTCGCCTACGTGAAGTCGGAGCTGCAGAGGAGACACACGTGCACAGACCTGGGTGAGCTGACAAGCTATCTTGGCTTGCGGATCACCCGGGACAGAGCACGCCGCACCATCACCCTGACTCAGTCACACATGGTGCAGCAGGTTCTCCAGCGCTTCCGCTTCACGTACTCCTCGCCTCAGTCCACTCCTCTGCCTGCCGGTCACTCGCTCTCAGCTCTGCCTTCGGATGAGTCCGTAGAGCCGAGTGGCCCGTATCCAGAGCTTGTGGGCTGCCTCATGTACCTGATGACCTGCACTCGACCTGACCTTGCATACCCTCTTAGCATCCTTGCACGCTATGTTGCTCCTGGCCGTCACAGGAAGGAGCACATGGATGCCGCTAAGAGGGTGTTGCGCTACTTGTGCAGTACGTCGGGCATGGGGCTTGTGCTTGGAGGGCGAGACCGAGTTGTTCTCACAGGGCACTCAGACGCTTCTTGGGCAGACGACCAGGCCACTCAGCGGTCGTCTCAGGGTTACACCTTCAGCCTTGGCTCTGGCTCAGTTTCTTGGCGCTCTACTCGCTCTTCTTCTGTTCTCGGCTCCAGTTGCGAGGCTGAGATCTACGCTACAGCCATGGCTGCACAAGAGTTACGCTGGCTCACCTACCTGCTGACCGACCTCGGAGAGCGGCCTCGTTCTCCTCCAGTACTGTACGTCGACAACAAGGCTGCCATTGCCTTGTGTGAGGAGCACAGACTGGAGCACAGAACGAAGCACATCGCCCTGCGGTACTTCCTTGCTCGTGAGCTGCAGCAGCGCGGTCAGCTTTGTATTCGCTACGTGGCCACTGAGGCCAACACTGCTGATGTGTTCACCAAGGCGCTTCAGCCTCGTGACCATCAGCGCTTCTGCACTCTCCTAGGCCTTGTGCCTACTGGACCTCACTTACTTACCTCTTGACTTTGTTTTGTCAAACTATATATGTTATACTTGTGTAGGCTGTAGTGGGGTAGCCAATATGGGGTACAACCCCTCTAGGGTTTGCTACTTGTACCCAACCTTCTTTCAATGCAATCATTCTTGCCTAGTGATTCTGACATGGTATTCAGAGCAGGAGGTCCCTAGGACCTACCGACCGTTTTTTTTTTTAGGGCCCACCACCGCTCGCATGCGGTTACCACGCTACCCCGTGCCCTAGCCTCGTAGCGCCCTCGTGCGCCCTCGTTAGCGCCCTCGTGCGTCCTCGTAGCGCCCTCGTGCGCCCTCGTTAGCGCCCTCGTGCGTCCTCGTTAGCGCCCTCGCGCGCCCTCGTTAGCGCCCTCGCGCGCCCTCGTTAGCGCCCTCGCGCGCCTCTCGTTAGCGCCCTCGCGCGCCCTCGCTAGCGCCCTCGAGCGCCCCTCGTTAGCGCCCTCGCGCGCCCCTCGCAGCGTCGCCCGCCCGCCGAGCCGCCTACTCGCAGCGTCGCCCGCCCGTCATGCTGCCCGCTCGCCGCCCGCCCGCCGCGCTGCCTGCTCGCAGCGTCGCCCGCTCGCCCCGCTGCCCGCTTCGCAGCCCGCCCGCCCGCTCGCTGCCCGCTTCGCGGCCCGCCCGCTTCGCTGCCCGCTCGCGGTGTCGCCCGCCCGCTCGCTGCCCGCTTCGCGGCCCGCCCGCCCGCTGCCCGCTTCGCAGCGTCGCCCGCCCGCTTGCTGCCCGCTCGCAGCGTCGCCCGCCCGCCCGCTGCCCGCTTCGCAGCGTCGCCCGCTCGCTCGCTGCCCGCTCGCAGCGTCGCCCGCCCGCCCGCTGCCCGCTCGCAGCGTCGCCCTCCCGCCTCGCTGCCCGCTTGCAGCGTCGCCCGCCCGCCCGCTGCCCGCTTGCAGCGTCGCCCGCCCGCCCGCTGCCCGCTTCGCAGCCCGCCCGCCGCGCTGCCCGCTCGCAGCGTCGCCCGCCCGCCCGCTGCCCGCTTCGCAGCCCGCCCGCCGCACTTCCGCCTGCAGCCGCCCCCCGCCCGCTGCGCTGCCCTGCCTGTGCACCGCCGCTTGCTCCTGCTGTGGCTGCTAGCTTCGCTCTAGCGCGTCCCCTCTGCTGCTGCCGCTGCTCTGCTGTGCCCTCACGCCTGAGCTATGGCCTCTATTCGCGTTCTTTCCTTCGATGCTGAGGGCCGTCCCGTGCAGTTCACTTCCTGGCTCGACGACCTGCAGTTGTATCTTATGAGCAATAGCACGGACCACATCTCCCTCTATGACTACGCGTCTGGTGCTGCCGCTGCTCCTGCTGCCACAGCCGAGCTTAGTGTACGTTCACAGTGGCAGACTCGTGACGCTGCAGCTCGCCTGGCTATTCGCAGTCACCTGCCGTTCGCTGAGCTAGAGCACTTTGGCGACTGCAAAACCGCTAAGGCCCTATACGACGCTGTCGTTGCTCGCTACTCCTCACCTGCCACAGCCGAGCTTAGCCGCCTCATGCTGCCTTACCTGTTCCCTGACCTGTCCACCTTTACTACAGTCGCCGATCTTATCACCCACCTTCGCACTAGTGATGCTCGCCTGCGTGCCGCCCTTCCCACCGAGTTCTGCGCTAAGAACCCCCCTCCCCTGTACTGGGCACTCCACTTCATAGTCACCCGTCTCCCTGACACCCTCAGCTCAGTGCGCGACTATTTCCTTGCTCGCTGTCCCACTGAGCTCACTGTCGCCCTCCTAGAGGAGAAGCTGCTAGCAGCTGAGAAGAGCATTGTAGCTGTAGGTGCTGCTCGCGGCGCTCCTCGCACCCCCATCTTTGAGGGGTGCTCTCCCTCTCCCCTCGCTCCCTCCTATGCTACTGCTGCTGCTGTTGACTTCCTTGGTGCTGAGTCTGCTGGCGCTGCTTCTGCTCCTAGTGGGAGGCGCCGCACCGGCAAGGGCAAGGGGGGCAAGGGTGGCGGGGGTGGCGCTGGGGGGGGAGGGGGGGGTGAGTGGGGGGGGGGAGGGGCGGGGGGAGGCGGTGCTGGAGGGAGCGGTGGCGGGAGTGCTGGTGGGAGTGGGCCGGCGGCGGAGGCGGGGCGGGCGGGGGCGGAGCAGTGGCGGTGGTGGCAGCGGCGGCAGTGGCGGCGGTGGCGTGGGTGGTGGTAGTGGCGGTGGCGGTGGCGGTGGTGGCGGTCGGAGCGGAGGTAGTGGCGGCGGTGGAGGTCGGAGTGGAGGCACCGGCTCGGGCCAGAGCTCCCAGCAGCAGCAGCGTCCCCAGTCGACCCAGCAGCTTCGTGAGTGGCTTGCTCAGCGTGGGACGTCGGGGGGCAGTGGCCGCTGTTCCTATGTCATTCGCACAGGTGATCGCAAGGGGCAGACGTGTGGAAAGTTCCACACTCAGTACCGCTGCTTTTCTTCCGCCTTGACGACGCCTGGCGTGAGGAGATGGGCGAGGATGTTGAGCGCCCCCGCTGGGCTGAGCTCATGAGGGCTGGTGTTGATATCTTTGCTCTTGACTATGATGCTATTATTGCTGCCATGTATGCATTGACTGTTAGTGCCGAGGAGAGGGAGACTGTTACTGTGTGCCGCCTGACCCAGGTAGAGGCCCGTGCCCTAGGTACTAGTGAGTCTGCTCTCTCTGGTATGGTGCCCCCTGTACCTGCTCCCTCCAGCACTGTCCCTGCTGCTTGCGAGTCTGCTCTCTCAGGTACAGCACCCACAGAGACTGCTCTCTCAGGTACTGCACCGACTGAGGCCTGTCACACCTTCACCCTTGACTCAGGTGCTTCCCGCTGCTTCTTTCGAGACAGTACTGAGCTCACACCGCTTCCTGCACCGGTCCCAGTCTCCTTGGCTGACCCCTCTGGGGGCCCAGTCCTTGCCCAGTCCACCACTGTCCTCCCTTGTCCGGCGGTTCCGTCTGGCTCGTTGACGGGTTTCCACCTCCCCTCGTTCTCGACGAACCTGGTGAGCAACGCTGTCATCCAGGATCAGTGGGTTGACACCTTTACCCCTGGAGGACAGCGTGTGGCGATCTGCACGTGCTCCAGGACCGGCCGTCACCTGGCTACGTTTACTCGTAGGCCGGGGTCGAGTCTCTACACACTGACCACTGCGTCTCCTCAGGTCGCTGCTGTCGGTCAGGTGTCCGCGTCAGGTCTGGTGGCCCACGCCCTGTGTGAGTGTCGTTCCCTGTCGCCACCAGACTCTTCTCTGGCACCACCGCCTGGGTCACCCCTCCTTGCCACGCCTCCGTGGCATGCACCGTCGCCGCCTTGTGTCTGGTCTTCCCAGGTCCCTCCCTCCCCTCCCTGCCTCGCCTGCGCCGCCTTGCCTTCCTTGCGTCGAGGGGCGGCAGCGCGCCGCTCCTCACTCCTCCTCGTTCCCCCCGACAGAGGCTCCTCTGCAGACCCTCCACCTAGACGTGTGGGGCCCAGCCCGCGTTCGTGGCCAGGGCGGTGAGCGGTACTTTTTGCTGGTTGTCGACGACTACTCGCGTTACACCACGGTCTTCCCCTTGCGCACCAAGGGTGAGGTCCCTGCTGTTCTGATCCCTTGGATCCGCACAGTTCGTCTCCAGCTCCGCCGCCGTTTCCGGACGGATCTTCCTGTCCTGCGTCTGCACTCTGACAGAGGTGGTGAGTTTTCCTCCGACCTCTTGAGGACCTTCTGTCAGGCGGAGGGCATCGAGCAGACCTTCACGCTTCCGGACTCCCCACAGCAGAATGGGGTTGCTGAGCGCCGCATTGGCCTGGTCATGGAGGTCGCTCGTACCTCCTTGGTCCATGCGGCGGCTCCCCATTTTCTGTGGCCGTTTGCTGTCCGGTACGCCGCGCATCAGCTCAACCTCTGGCCCCGTGTCTCCTTGCCGGAGACCTCGCCCACACTGCGTTGGACGGGGGAGGTTGGCGATGCGTCGCGCTTCCGGGTGTGGGGTGCTCGTGCCCTTGTCCGCGATACGTCCGCGGACAAGCTCTCCTCCCGCACGCTTCCCTGTGTCTTCCTTGGCTTTGTCCCTGACGCGCGTGGCTGGCAGTTTTACCACCCCACCTCGCGCCGGGTCTTCGCCTCTCAGGACGTCACCTTTGACGAGTCGGTCCCTTTTTACCGTCTCTTCCCCTACCGCACTGCCCCCCTCCCTCCCCCGCCGCTTTTCCTTGCTCCTGGTCCCCCTCCAGTAGACCCCCTTCCCCCTCAGGGTCCTGCTCCTTCAGGTGTCTCTCAGGTAGACCCTCCTCCCGTCGCTGAGCCTGTCGAGGTCACAGGTGACTCAGGTGCTGCTGCAGGTGGTGCTGCTGGGAGTGCTGAGCCTGGGGGTGCTGAGCCTGCGGGTGCTGGGCCTGGGGGTGCTGGGACTGCGGGTGCTGGAGCTGAGGGTACTGTGCCTGAGAGTCGGCGCCTGGGGTGCTGAGCCTGGGGGTGCTGCGTCTGGGGGTGCTGAGCCTGCGTGTGCGGAGTCTGGGGGTGCTGAGTCTGGGGGTGCTGCGCCTGCGGGTACTGAGCCTGGGGGTGCTGCTACTGAGCCTACGGAGCCTCGGGTTACTGCGTCTGGGGGTGCTCCGGTTCGGGGTACTGAGCAGTCTCTCACACCGCAGCAGCTTCGTGACTGGTACGTCCGGCGCTTTCGCCGTCCTAGTGGCTCGGCTGGAGCTGGGGACTCTGGAGCTGGCGGTGCTAGCGGAGTTGGAGCTGCCGACTCTGGGGGTGCTCTTCCTAGCGGTGCTGCGGACCCTGGGGGTGGCGCTGCTGCTGGTGCTGCGGACCCACCTGGTGGAGCTGCTGCTGGTGCTGAGGACCCGGCCGGTGGAGCTGCTGCTGGTGCTGTGGACCCGGACGCTGGAGCTCCTACTGGTGCTGAGGACCCGGCCGCTGGAGTCTCTTCTACTTCTGGAGACGCTGCGCGGCCGCGACCGTACTTCGTACCGCTCCTTCAGCAGGTTCTTGGGCAGGCTCCTCCTCCTTGTCCTCCTCCCTCCGTCGAGTGTCCTCCGCCTGTCCAGCCGCAGTCACAGTTACCGCCTGCCTCGCCTCTCCCTGCTCCCTCTCCTTATACTGGTCCCACAGGAGGTCTTACAGAGCGTCGTGAGCCTGAGTCTCGTCCTGCGTCGCCTGTCCGTACTGCTCGCACTGGTCGTCGTGTCCGTCGTGAGCGTCCTCCTCCTGTCCCAGGCACTCACTACATGACTCTGCGTCCCTCTACTGCTCCTCAGCGTGTCCCTCTGCCGTCTCCTCCTGCGTCCTCTTTGCCTGCTGTTCCGGACCCTGAGTCTGACCAGTATCGTGCTGAGCACCCTACTGTCACGCGTCTCCTAGCTACTGTTGTCACTGACCCTACCTTTGAGTCCTCGGCTGCGTCTGCTCTGGTCGCTGAGTTGGTTGACTTTGCTGCTGCCTGTCGTCTAGACTACGCTGCTAGCCTTGTTGCTGAGTCTGAGTCTGTCTGTCCTTCGTCCGTCGGGGGTGAGTGTGCTCTTGGCACGGACGTCCTTGAGGACAGACAGGAGGAGTTCCAGTGTCTTGCTGCTGCTTTGCCCCGTCTCGTGTCCTTGCTAGTTGCCCCTGAGGGAGACCCGGATGCACCAGACATCCCGACCCCGCGCACTTACACTGAGGCGATGGCGGGTCCCTACTCCTCTCAGTGGCAGACAGCCATGGACGCCGAGATGGCTTCCTGGAAGTCCACACGCACCTACGTAGACGAGGTTCCCCCTCCTGGGGCGAACATCGTCAGTGGCATGTGGATTTTCAGGGTGAAGCGGCCGCCGGGTTCTCCGCCTGTCTTCAAGGCGCGTTACGTGGCTCGAGGCTTCAGTCAGCGAGAGGGAGTTGACTTCTTCCAGACCTTCTCCCCCATCCCGAAGATGACTACTCTTCGGGTGCTGCTGCACATAGCCGCTCACCGCGACTACGAGCTTCACTCGCTTGACTTCAGCACTGCTTTCTTGCAGGGCAGCCTGCACGAGGAGATCTGGCTGCGCCGCCCACCTGGCTTCACTGGGTCGTTTCCTCCTGGTACCCAGTGGAGGCTTCAGCGGCCGGTCTACGGTCTCCGCCAGGCTCCGCGTGAGTGGCACGACACACTGAGGACTACACTTGCGGCTCTTGGGTTCGCGCCTTCTACAGCTGACCCGTCGCTTTTCCTGCGCACCGACACTTCGCTGCCGCCGTTCTACATCCTCGTGTACGTCGACGACTTGGTCTTTGCCACTGCTGACACTGCAGGACTCGCCTACGTGAAGTCGGAGCTGCAGAGGAGACACACGTGCACAGACCTGGGTGAGCTGACAAGCTATCTTGGCTTGCGGATCACCCGGGACAGAGCACGCCGCACCATCACCCTGACTCAGTCACACATGGTGCAGCAGGTTCTCCAGCGCTTCCGCTTCACGTACTCCTCGCCTCAGTCCACTCCTCTGCCTGCCGGTCACTCGCTCTCAGCTCTGCCTTCGGATGAGTCCGTAGAGCCGAGTGGCCCGTATCCAGAGCTTGTGGGCTGCCTCATGTACCTGATGACCTGCACTCGACCTGACCTTGCATACCCTCTTAGCATCCTTGCACGCTATGTTGCTCCTGGCCGTCACAGGAAGGAGCACATGGATGCCGCTAAGAGGGTGTTGCGCTACTTGTGCAGTACGTCGGGCATGGGGCTTGTGCTTGGAGGGCGAGACCGAGTTGTTCTCACAGGGCACTCAGACGCTTCTTGGGCAGACGACCAGGCCACTCAGCGGTCGTCTCAGGGTTACACCTTCAGCCTTGGCTCTGGCTCAGTTCTTGGCGCTCTACTCGCTCTTCTTCTGTTCTCGGCTCCAGTTGCGAGGCTGAGATCTACGCTACAGCCATGGCTGCACAAGAGTTACGCTGGCTCACCTACCTGCTGACCGACCTCGGAGAGCGGCCTCGTTCTCCTCCAGTACTGTACGTCGACAACAAGGCTGCCATTGCCTTGTGTGAGGAGCACAGACTGGAGCACAGAACGAAGCACATCGCCCTGCGGTACTTCCTTGCTCGTGAGCTGCAGCAGCGCGGTCAGCTTTGTATTCGCTACGTGGCCACTGAGGCCAACACTGCTGATGTGTTCACCAAGGCGCTTCAGCCTCGTGACCATCAGCGCTTCTGCACTCTCCTAGGCCTTGTGCCTACTGGACCTCACTTACTTACCTCTTGACTTTGTTTTGTCAAACTATATATGTTATACTTGTGTAGGCTGTAGTGGGGTAGCCAATATGGGGTACAACCCCTCTAGGGTTTGCTACTTGTACCCAACCTTCTTTCAATGCAATCATTCTTGCCTAGTGATTCTGACATGGTATTCAGAGCAGGAGGTCCCTAGGACCTACCGACCGTTTTTTTTTTTAGGGCCCACCACCGCTCGCATGCGGTTACCACGCTACCCCGTGCCCTAGCCTCGTAGCGCCCTCGTGCGCCCTCGTTAGCGCCCTCGTGCGTCCTCGTAGCGCCCTCGTGCGCCCTCGTTAGCGCCCTCGTGCGTCCTCGTTAGCGCCCTCGCGCGCCCTCGTTAGCGCCCTCGCGCGCCCTCGTTAGCGCCCTCGCGCGCCTCTCGTTAGCGCCCTCGCGCGCCCTCGCTAGCGCCCTCGAGCGCCCCTCGTTAGCGCCCTCGCGCGCCCCTTGCAGCGTCGCCCGCCCGCCGAGCCGCCTACTCGCAGCGTCGCCCCGCCCGTCATGCTGCCCGCTCGCCGCCCGCCCGCCGCGCTGCCTGCTCGCAGCGTCGCCCGCTCGCCCCGCTGCCCGCTTCGCAGCCCGCCCGCCCGCTCGCTGCCCGCTTCGCGGCCCGCCCGCTTCGCTGCCCGCTCGCGGCGTCGCCCGCCCGCTCGCTGCCCGCTTCGCGGCCCGCCCGCCCGCTGCCCGCTTCGCAGCGTCGCCCGCCCGCTTGCTGCCCGCTCGCAGCGTCGCCCGCCCGCCCGCTGCCCGCTTCGCAGCGTCGCCCGCTCGCTCGCTGCCCGCTCGCAGCGTCGCCCGCCCGCCCGCTGCCCGCTCGCAGCGTCGCCCTCCCGCCTCGCTGCCCGCTTGCAGCGTCGCCCGCCCGCCCGCTGCCCGCTTGCAGCGTCGCCCGCCCGCCCGCTGCCCGCTTCGCAGCCGCCCGCCGCGCTGCCCGCTCGCCGCGTCGCCCGCCCGCCCCGCTGCCCGCTTCGCAGCCGCCCGCCTCGCCTGCTGCTCCCTGCCCGTGCACCGCCGCTTGCTCCTGCTGTGGCTGCTAGCTTCGCTCTAGCGCGTCCCCTCTGCTGCTGCCGCTGCTCTGCTGTGCCCTCACGCCTGAGCTATGGCCTCTATTCGCGTTCTTTCCTTCGATGCTGAGGGCCGTCCCGTGCAGTTCACTTCCTGGCTCGACGACCTGCAGTTGTATCTTATGAGCAATAGCACGGACCACATCTCCCTCTATGACTACGCGTCTGGTGCTGCCGCTGCTCCTGCTGCCACAGCCGAGCTTAGTGTACGTTCACAGTGGCAGACTCGTGACGCTGCAGCTCGCCTGGCTATTCGCAGTCACCTGCCGTTCGCTGAGCTAGAGCACTTTGGCGACTGCAAAACCGCTAAGGCCCTATACGACGCTGTCGTTGCTCGCTACTCCTCACCTGCCACAGCCGAGCTTAGCCGCCTCATGCTGCCTTACCTGTTCCCTGACCTGTCCACCTTTACTACAGTCGCCGATCTTATCACCCACCTTCGCACTAGTGATGCTCGCCTGCGTGCCGCCCTTCCCACCGAGTTCTGCGCTAAGAACCCCCCTCCCCTGTACTGGGCACTCCACTTCATAGTCACCCGTCTCCCTGACACCCTCAGCTCAGTGCGCGACTATTTCCTTGCTCGCTGTCCCACTGAGCTCACTGTCGCCCTCCTAGAGGAGAAGCTGCTAGCAGCCGAGAAGAGCATTGTAGCTGTAGGTGCTGCTCGCGGCGCTCCTCGCACCCCCATCTTTGAGGGGTGCTCTCCCTCTCCCCTCGCTCCCTCCTATGCTACTGCTGCTGCTGTTGACTTCCTTGGTGCTGAGTCTGCTGGCGCTGCTTCTGCTCCTAGTGGGAGGCGCCGCACCGGCAAGGGCAAGGGGGGCAAGGGTGGCGGGGGTGGCGCTGGGGGGGGAGGGGGTGGGGGAGGTGGGGGGGGAGGCGGTGCTGGAGGGAGCGGTGGCGGGAGTGCTGGTGGGAGTGGGGCCGGCGGCGGAGGCGGGGGCGGCGGCGGGAGCAGTGGCGGTGGTGGCAGCGGCGGCAGTGGCGGCGGTGGCGGTAGTGGCGGTGGCGGTGGCGGTGGTGGCGGTCGGAGCGGAGGTAGTGGCGGCGGTGGAGGTCGGAGTGGAGGCACCGGCTCGGGCCAGAGCTCCCAGCAGCAGCAGCGTCCCCAGTCGACCCAGCAGCTTCGTGAGTGGCTTGCTCAGCGTGGGACGTCGGGGGGCAGTGGCCGCTGTTCCTATGTCATTCGCACAGGTGATCGCAAGGGGCAGACGTGTGGAAAGTTCCACACTCAGTACCGCTGCTTCTTCCGCCTTGACGACGCTTGGCGTGAGGAGATGGGCGAGGATGTTGAGCGCCCCCGCTGGGCTGAGCTCATGAGGGCTGGTGTTGATATCTTTGCTCTTGACTATGATGCTATTATTGCTGCCATGTATGCATTGACTGTTAGTGCCGAGGGAGACTGTTACTTGTGTGTGCCGCCTGACCCAGGTATAGAGCCCGCTGCCCTAGGTACTAGTGAGTCTGCTCTCTCTGGTATGGTGCCCCCTGTACCTGCTCCCTCCAGCACTGTCCCTGCTGCTTGCGAGTCTGCTCTCTCAGGTACAGCACCCACAGAGACTGCTCTCTCAGGTACTGCACCGACTGAGGCCTGTCACACCTTCACCCTTGACTCAGGTGCTTCCCGCTGCTTCTTTCGAGACAGTACTGAGCTCACACCGCTTCCTGCACCGGTCCCAGTCTCCTTGGCTGACCCCTCTGGGGGCCCAGTCCTTGCCCAGTCCACCACTGTGCTCCCTTGTCCGGCGGTTCCGTCTGGCTCGTTGACGGGTTTCCACCTCCCCTCGTTCTCGACGAACCTGGTGAGCAACGCTGTCATCCAGGATCAGTGGGTTGACACCTTTACCCCTGGAGGACAGCGTGTGGCGATCTGCACGTGCTCCAGGACCGGCCGTCACCTGGCTACGTTTACTCGTAGGCCGGGGTCGAGTCTCTACACACTGACCACTGCGTCTCCTCAGGTCGCTGCTGTCGGTCAGGTGTCCGCGTCAGGTCTGGTGGCCCACGCCTGTGAGTGTCGTTCCCTGTCGCACCAGACTCTTCTCTGGCACCACCGCCTGGGTCACCCCTCCTTGCCACGCCTCCGTGGCATGCACCGTCGCCGCCTTGTGTCTGGTCTTCCCAGGTCCCTCCCTCCCCTCCCTGCCTCGCCTGCGCCGCCTTGCCTTCCTTGCGTCGAGGGGCGGCAGCGCGCCGCTCCTCACTCCTCCTCGTTCCCCCCGACAGAGGCTCCTCTGCAGACCCTCCACCTGGACGTGTGGGGCCCAGCCCGCGTTCGTGGCCAGGGCGGTGAGCGGTACTTTTTGCTGGTTGTCGACGACTACTCGCGTTACACCACGGTCTTCCCCTTGCGCACCAAGGGTGAGGTCCCTGCTGTTCTGATCCCTTGGATCCGCACAGTTCGTCTCCAGCTCCGCCGCCGTTTCCGGACGGATCTTCCTGTCCTGCGTCTGCACTCTGACAGAGGTGGTGAGTTTTCCTCCGACCTCTTGAGGACCTTCTGTCAGGCGGAGGGCATCGAGCAGACCTTCACGCTTCCGGACTCCCCACAGCAGAATGGGGTTGCTGAGCGCCGCATTGGCCTGGTCATGGAGGTCGCTCGTACCTCCTTGGTCCATGCGGCGGCTCCCCATTTTCTGTGGCCGTTTGCTGTCCGGTACGCCGCGCATCAGCTCAACCTCTGGCCCCGTGTCTCCTTGCCGGAGACCTCGCCCACACTGCGTTGGACGGGGGAGGTTGGCGATGCGTCGCGCTTCCGGGTGTGGGGTGCTCGTGCCCTTGTCCGCGATACGTCCGCGGACAAGCTCTCCTCCCGCACGCTTCCCTGTGTCTTCCTTGGCTTTGTCCCTGACGCGCCTGGCTGGCAGTTTTACCACCCCACCTCGCGCCGGGTCTTCGCCTCTCAGGACGTCACCTTTGACGAGTCGGTCCCTTTTTACCGTCTCTTCCCCTACCGCACTGCCCCCCTCCCTCCCCCGCCGCTTTTCCTTGCTCCTGGTCCCCCTCCAGTAGACCCCCTTCCCCCTCAGGGTCCTGCTCCTTCAGGTGTCTCTCAGGTAGACCCTCCTCCCGTCGCTGAGCCTGTCGAGGTCACAGGTGACTCAGGTGCTGCTGCAGGTGGTGCTGCTGGGAGTGCTGAGCCTGGGGGTGCTGAGCCTGCGGGTGCTGGGCCTGGGGGTGCTGGGACTGCGGGTGCTGGAGCTGAGGGTACTGTGCCTGAGAGTTCGGCGCCTGGGGGTGCTGAGCCTGGGGGTGCTGCGTCTGGGGGTGCTGAGCCTGCGTGTGCGGAGTCTGGGGGTGCTGAGTCTGGGGGTGCTGCGCCTGCGGGTACTGAGCCTGGGGGTGCTGCTACTGAGCCTACGGAGCCTCGGGTTACTGCGTCTGGGGGTGCTCCGGTTCGGGGTACTGAGCAGTCTCTCACACCGCAGCAGCTTCGTGACTGGTACGTCCGGCGCTTTCGCCTTCCTAGTGGCTGGAGCTGCTGGAGCTGGGGACTCTGGAGCTGGCGGTGCTAGCGGAGTTGGAGCTGCCGACTCTGGGGGTGCTCTTCCTAGCGGTGCTGCGGACCCTGGGGGTGGCGCTGCTGCTGGTGCTGCGGACCCACCTGGTGGAGCTGCTGCTGGTGCTGAGGACCCGGCCGGTGGAGCTGCTGCTGGTGCTGTGGACCCGGACGCTGGAGCTCCTACTGGTGCTGAGGACCTGGCCGCTGGAGTCTCTTCTACTTCTGGAGACGCTGCGCGGCCGCGACCGTACTTCGTACCGCTCCTTCAGCAGGTTCTTGGGCAGGCTCCTCCTCCTTGTCCTCCTCCCTCCGTCGAGTGTCCTCCGCCTGTCCAGCCGCAGTCACAGTTACCGCCTGCCTCGCCTCTCCCTGCTCCCTCTCCTTATACTGGTCCCACAGGAGGTCTTACAGAGCGTCGTG